TTCACACTCCAAACTTCACACTTCACACTTCTCACTTTGCACTTCACACTCCACACTTCACAGTTCACACTTCACACTTCTCACTGCTCACTGCTTCCTTCACACTCCAAACTTCACACTTCACACTTCTCACTTCGCACTTCACACTCCACATTTCACACTTCACACTTCAACAGTCCACACTTCACACTTCTCACTTCTCACTGCTTCCTTCACACTCCAAACTTCACACTTCACACTGCACTCTTTGCACTCGAAATTTCACACTCCACACTTCACAGTCCACACTTCACACTTCTCACTTCTCTCACTGCTTCCTTCACACTCCAAACTTCACACTTCACACTGCACTCTTCACGCCCCACACTTCACACTGGACTCTTCACACTCCACACTTCATCTCATCTGAGCTCTTCTCACCTTATCCCAGCTCATCTCTTCTCACCTCGTCCCTTCTCATTTGTCATCTATTAAGCTTTCATTAATCAATTCCCAGCACTACTACTAATCACTGTCGCACCCTTGATGCACCCACTCCATTACGATTTACGAAGTCCAGCTGCAAAAGACAATAGTATTGCGCATGCAGCCGCGGCACCAAGCAACCTTGACGCAGCCACTACATTGCGATCTGCAAAGACTGAGTTGCAAAACACAGTAGAACTACGCGCAACGGGGTCGGAAATTGTAGCTCCAAAACCGGATCTCGACGCCAAAGCGAAAAAAAGACGATTTTGAAGCACTTTTTAAAAGGATTTCTAGAAGGAAAATCACTAGCGCCAAAATGGAGAAAATTTGCTGACAAATCACTGTCGCAGCCTTCATGCAGCCACTCCAATACGATTTACGAAGTCCAGCTGCAAAAGACAATAGTATTACCCATGCATCCAAAGCAGGAAGCAACCTTGACGCAGCGACTACAATGCGATCTGCAGAAACTGAGTTGCAAAACACAATAGAATTACGCGCAACGGCGTCGGAAATTGTAGCTTCAAAACCGGATCTCGACGCCAGAGCGAAAAAAAGACGATTTTGAAGCACTTTTTAAAAGGATTTTTAGAAGGAAAATCACTAGCGCCAAAATGGAGAAAATCTGCTAACAAATCACTGTCGCAGCCTTCATGCAGCCACTCCAATACAATTTACGAAGCCCAGCTGCAAAAGACAATAGTATTACCCATGCATCCAAAGCAGGAAGCAACCTTGACGCAGCCACTACAATTTGATCTGCTGAGACTGAGTTGCAAAACACAATAGAACTACGCGCAACGGCGTCGGAAATTGTAGCTCCAAAACCGGATCTCGACGCCAGAGCGAAAAAAAGACGATTTTGAAGCACTTTTAAAAGGATTTTTAGAAGGAAAATCACTAGCGCCAAAATGGAGAAAATCTGCTGACAAATCATTGTCGCAGCTTTCATGCAGCCACTCTGATACGATTTACGAAGCCCAGCTGCAAAAGACAATAGTATTACGCATGCAGCCAAAGCAGGAAGCAACCTTGACACGATCTGCAAAGACTGAGCCGCAAACCGCAATCCCATTTACATCGGCAACTCATCCACCAGCAACACTTGCAATCCCATTTACATTGCGGGAAGGATCCTACAGTTGCGAATCACAATGGAATTCCATCGGCAACTCATCCAGCAGCACCACTTGCAATCCCATTTACATTGCGGGAACGATCCTACAGTTGCAAATCACAATGGAATTCTGTCGACCGCACATGCACGAAAAACAGTTGAAACCCCATTTACAATGCGGAACCGATCCGAGCATGATCCGAGAATGATCCGACCACACACGAGACCGTCTCGCACCCTTCGCACCGCAGAGGTAGATCATCGACGTTCGGGGACGCACTTTGTCCGGAAAAACATAGGGTTTCGTGCATCTGCTATCTCTCAAAAACGCATTTCGTGCGAGACCTCCTTCAAAACTCCATCGGCAACTCCTCCACCAGCACCACTTGCAATCCCATTTGCAGTGAGGGAACGATCCTAGAGTTGCAAATCACAATGGAATTCCATCGGCAACTCATCCACCAGCACCACTTGCAATCCCATTTACATTGCGGGAACGATCCTACAGTTGCAAATCACAATGGAATTCTGTCGACTGCACATGCACGAAAAACAGGTGAAACCCCATTTACAATGCGGAACCGATCCGACCATGATCCGAGCATATCCGACCATGATCCGACCACACACGAGACCGTCTCGCACCCGTCGCACCGCAGAGGTAGATCATCGAGGTTCGGGGACGCACTTTGTCTGGAAAAACACAGGGTTTCGTGCATCTGCTATCTCTCAAAAACGCATTTCGTGCGAGACTTCCTTCAAAACTCCATCGGCAACTCATCCACCAGCACCACTTGCAATCCCATTTGCATTGCGGGAAGGATCCTACAGTTGCAAATCACAATGCCCTAACTAACTCTTTCCCTCACTAACTCTTTCTTTGACTAACTCTTTCCCTGACTAACTCTTTCTTTGACTAACTCTTTCCCTGACTAACTCTTTCTTTGACTAACTCTTTCCCTGACTAACTGTTTCTTTGACTAACTCTTTGTTTGACTAACTCTTTCTTTGACTAACTCTTCCCCTGACTAACTGTTTCTTTGCTAACTCTTTCCCTCACTAACTCTTTCTTTGACTAACTCTTTCCCTCACCAACTCTTTCCCTCACTAACTCTTTCTTTGACTACCTCTTTCTTTAACTAACTGTTTCTTTGACTAACTGTTTCTTTGACTAACTGTTTCTTTGACTAACTCTTTCTTTGACTAACTCTTTCTTTGACTAACTCTTTCCCTGACTAACTCTTTCCTTGACTAACTCTTTCTTTGACTAACTCTTTCTTTGACTAACTCTTTCCCTGACTAACTGTTTCTTTGACTAACTCTTTCTTTGACTACCTCTTTCCCTGACGAACTCTTTCTTTGCTAACTCTTTCTGTGACTAACTCTTTCCCTCACTAACTCTTTCTTTGACTAACTCTTTCCCTGACTAACTGTTTCTTTGCTAACTCTTTCTTTGACTAACTCTTTCCCTGACTAACTCTTGCTTTGACTAACTCTTTCCCTGACTAACTGTTTCTTTGACTAACTCTTTCCCTGACTTTCCCTCACTAACTCTTTCTTTGACTAACTCTTTCCCTGACTAACTCTTTCTTTGACTAACTCTTTCCCTCACTAACTCTTTCTTTGACTAACTCTTTCCCTGACTAACTCTTTCTTTGACTAACTGTTTCTTTGACTAACTCTTTCTTTGACTAACTCTGTCCCTGACATTCTAAAAGTCCGTAACACGGAAGTTTCTCCCCCTAAACTTCCTTTGATGATATGATATGATATGATATGATATGATGCTCAATTTCTTTGGTTCATCTCAGAGTTGCACCTGAAACAGGGCGAAGTGGACAATGACCCTTGAAAGATGTTACAGGGTAAGCAAATGTTTCGGGTCTGGTTCGCAGGATGTTCCAGTAAAGAATATTGTTTTTTCCCTGAAAGGGACGTGGATGATGTTCCAGGTCCATCGATTTTGCGTGGATTGGAAGCAGTCCAAGCATGTGCGAAAAAAACAATCGGAGCTTGAAAAATTGTTTTTCTGCAAAGCCCCGACTTCATCCCATAAGACCATAAGGGGTGATGCCACACAAAAAAATGAACCGCAAAGGGGAATTGCAAACCTCACGTATAAGCAGTAATTTAAGAATTTGGCAATCCTTTTCCAGGGTCCCTCAAAATCCTAAAGTACTACAGTATGTGTTTGGTGTAGCTGAAAATATGTAGCCCGCCTTGGATTCGAGCCCCTCAAATTCTTATACGGTGAATTCTTGTACAATACTCAAGCTGTACGAAGTTGTCTCGAGAGTTGAAACCCCCAAAGCCTTTCAAAACTCTCCAAAATACCAGGGTTTATCACCTTGTCTAAAAAACATGCAAAACATTGGGGGATCCCCCATTTCTCAACATGGGTCGCCATACCTTGGGCGCTTGACATGGGGGCGGAGACTCATGGCATCACTTCACAAGAGAGGTAGTTGAACAGTTTGGGTCGCAAATGGGTCCTTTTGTATGGAATTTCTGACCGCATATTGTCCAGCCCATCGAGGGTTGCAATATTTTCAAATGTATGCTGGGTTTGTCGCTCTTGTATCACACTGGCTCTTACCCCATCATGTTCGTTTGCTGATGTGCTCAGTGCAGCAGGAATTTTCGCATGGTAGGCCGGAAGATGGTACCAGTAGTACCCCGCACCACTGGACCGGATGAGCGCTTGCTTTGTCAGACGTGGATCACTCAGTTCTCCATGCAGGATGTGCTGTGATGAGAAAGAGAGAGAGAGAGAGAGAGAGAAAACAAAAAACAGGCGATTCCGATGTCAATGCAAACATGTGTAAACGCATCTGAAAGTGCGCCAAACAGTAGAGACTTCACCAACTAACTTGACCATGTCCATCCAATTTTCAAATTTTCCATCCACTTCCCATTTCCCAGCAGGTTCCCATCCACTTCCCGTCTTTTTTCCATCCATGCCACCACATATGTTTATACTTTTATCATATTTTATCTATTTTTCACATCATTGGGTCAGTTGAGTCAGGGCTGGGGTGGTGGGTCTCAGGATGACCAAGATCTGTGATGTGAAGCTGGCGCGTGGAGCCGTTCAGAGGCAGATCCAGGGGGAATCAGGTCACAACTTCACTGGATCCATGAAAATCTGAAATCTTTCGTAACAAACCTAAATATCAAAACATTTTTTTGCTCCCAGCGCCCCAAACCTCCCAGCCAGCTTCAACTCTCGAAATTCCACGGACATGCTTGGACAGGAATTCCATGCATTTGAAGTCAAATCTTTAGATCGCACGGCACATGTGAAGCCATGTGAAGTCCAGCAACGGTGGCCTGGAATTTCCATGACGCAGTTTCACATCATTGGGTCCGATTTGTCCAACCGCTGCAGCCAGACTTTTTTTTCTCCCAGGTTGCTATGTTGAAGAGACATCACAGCAATATCTCCGAGGATCGGCTGGTGAAAGATGGGACATGAGTCGCCAGATGGGTCTGTCCAGGAATGAAGCATACAGTACCAATGGATTTGGGGTGTACCCCCTGTTTGGACTTGTTTGAAGAAACTCCCACTAGGATCACTAGGGGAATCAGTCAAGCCGTTCAAATCTTTGTGTTTCTGTTTGTGTGAAGAAAATGACCGGCTCAGAGGCACTTGAAACGATTTGAAACGATGTGCCAACTTCTCCACGTTGATCTTTGGGAACTGTGAAGACTATGAATGGAAAACAGTGACAAAACATTCGCATCCAAGGAACATGCCATTTTGATCGGTTTTGCACACATTTTCAAATGGTTTGCACATCCCATCTTCGATTCAATGGTACAAGAATGCCGGTTGACTGGGGACTTCAACCGTACCTCATTTGTCCAATCCGATTGATGTCTAATTTAGTTGGTGTACTAATTACTTACTTACGTACTTACTCACTCACTCACTCACTTACTTACTTTACTTACTTTACTTACTTTACTTACTTTACTTACTTTACTTACTTTACTTACTTTACTTACTTTACTTACTTTACTTACTTTACTTACTTTACTTACTTTACTTACTTTACTTTCTTTACTTTTCTTTACTTTACTTTACTTACTTACTTACTTACTACTTACTTTACTTACTTTACTTACTTTACTTACTTTACTTACTTTACTTACTTTACTTACTTTACTTACTTTACTTTACTTACTTTACTTACTTTACTTACTTTACTTACTTTACTTACTTTACTTACTTTACTTACTTTACTTACTTTACTTACTTTACTTACTTTACTTACTTTACTTTTTACTTTTCTTTACTTTACTTTACTTTACTTACTTACTTACTTTACTTACTTTACTTACTTTACTTACTTTACTTACTTTACTTACTTTACTTACTTTACTTTACTTACTTACTTACTTTACTTACTTTACTTACTTTACTTACTTTACTTACTTTACTTACTTTACTTACTTTACTTACTTTACTTACTTTACTTACTTTACTTACTTTACTTTCTTTTCTTACTTTACTTTACTTACTTTACTTACTTTACTTACTTTACTTACTTTACTTACTTTACTTACTTTACTTACTTTACTTACTTTACTTACTTTACTTACTTACTTTACTTACTTTACTTACTTTACTTACTTTACTTACTTTACTTACTTTACTTACTTTACTTACTTTGCTTACTTTACTTACTTTACTTACTTTACTTTGCTTACTTACTTTACTTACTTTACTTACTTTACTTTACTTACTTACTTACTTACTTACTTACTTACTTACTTACATTCGAAGATCGAATGAAACCATCTGGTTGCGCAGCGAAGTCCAAACAATTTTAGCTCATGGGACGCAACTGAAAGGTGGATCGAGCAGCTTTCAATGAGGAGAAGATCTTGCCTCTGCAGAACCAGGACAGAAGTTTGGTGGGTTGCATAACTGTGTTTCCAACCGCTAAATATGGGGTTTGCCAAAAAGAAAAGACCGGTAACAAAACAACTGATGAAATTGAAGCTTTTGGAGGTTCCCAAGAAGCATGGGGAAATCCATTTCTTTTGATTTGAAGAACAAGTGCAGGCAAAACAAGCGTTTCTTCAACGCTCTGAATATTCCTCTGTGCACTCTTTATGCTTCGTCCTTGGGATGTTGCAAGACCTTCTGTGAAGATGGTTTCTCGGTTTCTCGGTTTCTCCCTCCGGAATTTGGTCTCTAGGAGATGCAGAAGATTCGGGTGAAGATCGAAGGCTTCAGGGAGGATGTGCGCAGCTTCCGCGCGGAGTTTTTGGATCGTTGTCCTTTGGAAGTCGGGGATCCCAGACGTGGAAAATGGTGAAACCATAAACAACGGAGTGATGTCACCAGCCAACATGGAGAGTCTCTTGATTCAATCAACAATCAGGGTTGGTTTTGGGGAAATTCTGGTTTTGACCATGGTTTATACTACAGGGGGTTCCTTTGGCTGACAGCTGGGGAGATCCCTTGTCGCACCGAGGAGAGCAAGAGGGGTTCTGTTTTTGTGATTCTCCAAGGATGGTGAGATAAATTGGCACAAGGTGAACTGCTTTGGCAGATGCTTTTGCACAACATTTGCCACGTTTGCCCAAATATGGGCGTTTGACAAAGATATTTTCCACCAACTTTGCACTGCCATGGGCAAGGTTTGTTTCACAAAATCGCTCTAACTCTGAGGTGAGAATGCAGTGACTGGCAACTATGACAAGAGCCTGGTTCTCAGCACTGAGCACTTTAGCTTGAGGCGATGCCCAGCAAGAATGGATTCCAGCCACGAAACATTGAAAGATGCTGATGACAAAAGATCACACATTGATGCTGACAATTGATTCATCACTGCTCTGAGGGTCAATCTGTGTTTGAATCCTGCAGCCTCTGAGTATCCATATCCGTCAAGATGATTTGGATATTGGCCACCAGAGCCCAAGTTGATTGATCGAAGATGAATTAGCCAGAGACCACATGATACCAAAGGAGATGGTCCAAATCCACCGTCATTCCAGCAGATTTTTCTTCAGGCTATGCATTGATCAACGAGTACTATTAGAAAACGGTACAGAACAGTTCAATGTGGCTCAGCTTCACATTTGACACTGTTCTCATGTTCAAAGCACCCGGCACACCTGATCCCTGGGTGCGTAGTGGTTGATTAATTGGGACTTTCGCATTGATTTATCTAGGAAATGAAGTCCGTACTATTCTCATCGAGCCAAATGGTTCTTCATGTTTTTTTTTTGCAAATATAGACAGACCCGTGTCAGTGTAGTTTGGAGCGTGTAGGTTGGAGCTGCAGCTTCATGATCCCCAGTTTCAGTTCACTGACACGTTTGAAAAGTTCAAAGTCCCCACTTTCAATTGCCTAAACCATCCCAAAGTTGATGTTAACTACTTCTACCATTCTCACATGGTTTGCGAGTTGAAGTGGTTGATTTCTGTTTTTAATATCATGTTTCAATCCTGTTTCAATTCTGTTTCAATCTGTACAATGTACAAGTGGTACATTGTATTTGATGACTGTCCCTAATTCTGGTAGTAAAACGACCCCCAAGACACGAGCCAGGACTTGGAGCTGCTGTTCGACATGGCCATGATCAATTACCAACCGCTGCGGGCCTTGCACAATTCTTGGATGACTGATATAGACTTTGTGATGATTTATAATGATTTATATATTTATGTAAGATTCATGTGCAATTTCACCAATACAAGTTGGAAGTTTAGCAAAAAAGACTTTGACTCTTCAAAAACCAAATTGAGGAGCCGGATTTAATGAACCTGGGCTAGTTTTAATGGAACATGTAATATACAGGATACCACCCTCTTATTTCGGGGGGTTTCCTGTAGATTTTCCTTTAAACATCCCAATACATCGAAACGGAGGGATGAACAGCCATGAGCAACCAGCTGGTTGGTGTCAACAGAAGGGTACATCCGTATGTGTTGTTATTTTTGGCCAGGATCGACTGCTACAACAACTTGGTGCTTTTAAAGAACCCATGGGACCGCAGCTGCTTGGGGCAAGGGAAATGTCTGTGTGATCCCTGTGAAGTATAAAGCAAATCAAAAGATATGCTTGTACCTGAGATTGGCCGTCCATGTACTGAATCCTTGCAGTTCCACAATGTTTTTTTTGGCAATTTCATGGCCTTTATTCAAAAGAAAATCCATGTTCGGGGTGAATTTGCCAAAGATGATTCCTAGGATACACTAAAGAATATGGCCACAATGCCATGGCCACAATGCCATGGTGATCCTTGAAGATCATGTAATGGTGCTACATTCTGGGTCACAATTTTGGATGGGAAGTCCAACCTCCATTTTCATCCATTCAGCGATTTGAGCAGGACCTGCTTGTCACGGTGCGGGAAACCTTCTCTGCTTGGTGCTCAATGGATCTGTGGATCAATGGATCTGTGGATCTAGGTCAAATGGCCATTCAGATCCAAGGATGGGTTAGATTTGACCATTGGTAGTAACGGTGTGAATCATATTATTCTTGGATGGGCAACATTCTCGTTGGCTTCGGATCAGATTCGGACCTCTCATTTTGGATACCACTTTGAACCCTTGCTTTGAATGTCCTTGTTGATCTTTGAAGATCATGTCGGAAAGCAGTTTCAAATAGGGTTTTGAGAAGAAAACAATCAGTGCACGTGGCTGCTTCCCCGTCAGCCCCCGCCACCCCCCATGGGCTGTCACCGAAGGCACAATGTGCTGTGGGACAAGATTGAGACGGAGCAAATGGTAGCCACAGTTCGTGAATTGAGCAACCAGGTCGCGGCCACAGAATTTCGAGGTCTTGTTGCATCAGTTCTCGCATTTAACAACTCAAAATGGTCTCCATGGTTCATTCTAAACAATCAACCTGTTCAGAAGCAAGTCAAACATCAGTAGTTTTTTGCTGATTGATGCTCATTTCATGACATTGTGATTGACGGTTTTCAGTTTTGTTTCCTCCTTCAGTTGCTGCTTTGGAGCCGTTGAAATCATCAATCGCAGGTAGTTCGTGCCCAGAAAGACCAGCAGAAAAGGGGCGCTGAAAAGACCGCACATCGTAAATGTTGTGGGGAGGTGGGCCCAACCTTACCCCTATGTAACTACTATTTCCATTGTTTTTATCAGAAAAATGCAAACTAAAGATCTTGCTCCTATGTAACTACTATTTCTTCTTGCATAATTTTTTCAGTGGTCATACCGTAACGTGGAAGAAATCATTTTCAGGTCGCCATGCCCTGCCAATCTCGATGCAGGACATCGACTGGACACCATGTATTTGAGCATCCATGATGTTTCTTAAGTCATGGGGGATCCCCAGTCGTCACCATTGTTGTTTCAATACTAAAATGGCCATCCGTGACTTGGATGATTTGAGGGTAGCCCCATTTCAGGAAACCGCCATATATGTTAAATTTCCATGGTGCAGCTGGAGATGACGAACGCTGAGAATGGACACGCTTCAGGATCCGAACCCAGGAACTTAAATTACGAAGGTCCCTCAGGGTAGAGATGGTTCATATCAAACTCACGTTGAGAATCAGGACTTGAACTAAGTTGGATAGAAATTACCGAGCTGCCGCGATTTTCCCGAAGAAACGCTTTCCTGACCCTTTCGGATCAAAACTGGAAGACAGTGGAGGTGGTTTGGAAGGTATCAATAAAATTAAGTTAATATAAATATCCCAAAGTTTTCCTTTGCTATGCAATTCATAAAATAAACTGGTGGTCCAAAGGGCTGTAAAGCCATTGACGAAAAGAACCACTTCCCTGTCATATTTGCAACGCAGACACATATAAACGACGACCTTTTGGGAACCCAGTCCCCATCATTTTTCAGGTTGTTTTTGGGTAGCAGTGCCCCGGCCATGGCACCTGCGACAGGTTCTGCAACGCAACCTGGTTTGAGCCTCATTACCGATGTGCCAGCACAGCAACTTCAAATATTTTGTCAAAAATTCAAATTACTGACATAGTTTCTGACATATCATTTGGAAGCATACAGGAAGCATATAGGAAGCATATAGGAAGCATATAGGAAGCATATAGGAAGCATATAGGAAGCATATAGAAAGCATATATGGCATATACTATACATACATACTATACATACATACTATACAAAATACATACATACCATGCATACATACATACATATACATATACATACATACATGCACATGCATACATAATCATACATAATCATACATAATCATACATAATCATACATCATACATAATCATACATAATCATACATAATCATACAATCATATAATCATACATAATCATACATAATCATACATAATCATACATAATCATACATAATCATACATAATCATACATAATCATACATAATCATACATAATCATACATACATACGTACATACATACATACATACATACCATACCATTACCATTACATTACATTACCTTACCTTACCTTACCTTACATTACATACATACAAACAGACAGACATACATCCCGGCGGGTTGTTTATCGAACCCGCGTTTTCAAGGTTTCATTCCACAAATCACAGTGGTTTTGCATCTCTCTCAAAGTTCAATTTCCTTAAAAAGTACGCGCGTACTTTTCACTGGATATGTGAAACACCTCAGCGGCACTCTCTTTTTTTCTGCGCTAAGTGTTCTTCACAATTTCTGCAGTGAGCTTGGAGAGGTTTTTGTGGGAACTGTTTTCCCATCTCCACTGCCAAGCACGTACACTAGCGTAGCATCATATATGTGAGGAAGTGCAAGACGACGTAGACTAGCGTAGCATATATGTGAGGAAGTGCAAGACGACGTACAATAACGTAGCATCATGGATGTGAGGAAGTGCAAGACGACATGCAGTAGCGTTGCATCATGTATGTGAGGAAGTGCAAGACGACGTACACTAGCGTAGCATCAGAAATGTGAGGAAGTGCAAATCAACGTTATTACCCCACCCCACCCACCCGACCCCACCCCGTTAACCCCATGAAAGACATAGAAACATGCAAAACGCTGGTTCGGTTTTCAACCCGTAGGCACATACATACATACATACATAGATACATCGACACATAGATACATACAGATACATACAGATACATATAGATACATATAGGTACATGTAAATACGTATAGATACGTATAGGTACATGTAAATACGTATAGATACGTATAGATACGTATAGATACATATAGATACATACAGATACATATAGATACATACATACACATACAGATACATACAGATACATACAGATACATACAGATACATACAGATACATACAGATACATACAGATACATACAGATACATACAGATACATACAGATACATACACATACATACACATACATACACATACATACATACATACATACACATACATACACATACATACACATACATACACATACACACACACATACACACATACATACACATACATACACACATACATACATACACGCACATACGCACATACACACATACCTACATACATACATACATACATACATACATACACATACACATACACACATACACATACACATACACATACACATACACATACGTACACATACGTGCGCATACGTACACATACATACACATACATACACATACATACACATGCATACACATACATACACATACATACACATACATACACATACATACACATACATACACATACATACACATACATTGAGAAATGCAGCTGTTGTCAAGGATCTGACCTGCAGGTGAGCTGTGCATCTCCATCGCATCTTGGTTCAAAGGCCTAACGCCAGTTGTGCTACGCAATCAGCTCATGGAAAAGGCTGCCAGTCGCTGCTTTGCACTTTGAGCGACTTCAGTGGCACCGGAGCTATCTGGTTGGATCCTTTTGCGCTGCGCTGTGCTCTCCGCTGCTGCATCTTGGTTTCCTTCTGCACGACCGACCTCATCTTCCACCTTACTGAATCCTAGGCCGGTGATCCTTGCGGAGAACTAGGTTTTGGACCGGGACAGTGAGGGTGAGATCTCTTGGTGCCTGGCGCTACATTCATCCATTTGTTGCAAGCGCTTCGATTGGTGGATTGGGCACTTTTGTGAATTCAGTTTTCCTTTTTGCAGTTTCTACCTTTTTGTGTGTATCACTTCGTCACTGCGATGCCAGAGGACGACAAGGACCAGAATGGTGGTGCTTGGAGCAGGGTACCCACTTGGGATGGCAGTCCACAAACGTGGAGAACATTCAAGCGGGAGATGACGTGGTGGACTTCGGCTTTGGATTTGCAGTCCACCTTGAAATACAACTTGGCAGCAAGATGGCTATTGCGCCAAAGTGGAATCGTCAGGCAGAGGGGCGAAGAGTTTCTTCCAGAAGAACTGGAGGCCCAGCAAGAAGTAACAGGCATAGACCCGGAGACCCAGGAGAAGGTGGTATTGACACCTGCAGACCCCTTGAAGGGGTTGAACAAGTTGATCACAGCCTTAGAGGGCATGAATGGTCGTACCACCTTAGACAAGAAGGGCGAGCTACGCAATATGTTCTATCAGGACCTGAAGAGAAAGCCTGGGGAGCGCATTGCAGAGTTTTGTTCACGTTTTCGAGTTTTGGTTGCAGACTTGAAGACTGAAGGAGTGTTGCTCCCGTCCTCGGAGGTGGGCTGGTTCTTCAGAACAAAGTTGGGGCTCGACCCGATACGGGTCCAATTGCTTGACACGGCACTTGGAGGGGCTGAGGAGTATGAGACCATAGAGCGTGAGGTCCTCAGGCTCTTCAAGGAGTTGCATGTTCAGGATCCGTTGAATCGGACCCGAGATGTGAAGGGCTCTCCAGTGCTTCAAAGGTTTCTGAATCAGCCGCAGCAATCTTCTTTCAGCAGACCTTCATCCTATGCTCCTTCTATGGCGTCCTCTACCAGGACATTTCGGTCGAGTTCCTCAGCACCCTCTGGAGCACCTTCTTCTAGGTTTAGCAACTTGCGCAAGCCGAAGCAGGTTATGGTTTCTGAGACAGACCTCAATGCAGAGGAACCTGAAGAGGAAGAGCTTGTTGAAGACGGTGGAGAACCTCAAAGTTTGGAGGAAGTGTTGCAAACAGAAGTTGAAGCTCTAGCCACGGAGCTTGAGGAGGCTGCAGAGCTCGGTGTGGACGAAGATGCGCTGAAGGAGGTCGAAGAGTCCGTTGAAGCAGCTGCAGAAGCCCTAATGACCATGAAGGAATCACGGCATCGTCTTCAAGAAGTTCGCAAAGACCGTGGATACGGAAGAACTTCGGGTGGTGCCGATAACAAGGCAAAGATGAACCCAAAGAAAACATCCAAGAACCCATGTTTCGATTGCAATCTTCCAGGCCACTGGGCCAGAGACCCGGAGTGCAAGAAGCCGGGACAGCAGTTGGGGCGCAAGAAGCCCAAGCAGGTGCAGTTGGCTGAAGTTCTGAACACAGAACACACCATTGAGGAGAAGTTTGAGGAGCAGCCCAACGAAGTTTTAGCAGTTTCTAGCGTCGGCACGTTGACAAAGTCCTTTGCCGTGGCGTTGGAGGAGTCTCACAAGACGCCCAAAGAGGTTCATGCGGCGTCGAGCAAAATGTCGCTGGACAAGCGGTTGGTTGGAGCCCTTGACAGTGCTGGCAACCGAACGTGCACCGGCAATGAATGGTTGGCTGGGTTTTTGTCTGGCCTTCGTGAGGCGCCTGCAGAGATCCGCGCGTTGGTGCGGCAAGAAGAGGAGCATGAGACTTTCAGGTTTGGCAATGGGGGCACCCAGGTGTCATTGAGGAGATGGCGCCTACCATTTGTGGTGGGAGATGTTTTGATGTGCGTTTGGGTGTCAGTAGTTCCAGTCAGTACTCTAGGTCTTCTCCTTGGACGTGATTTCTTGGAAGCCATTGGAGCCAACCTAGACTTTGCCCGCAGAACTTTGACATGTGACTGGATCGCTTCAAAGCCTATGACCTTGAAGCAGCTCTCTGCAGGACATTACCTCCTGCACCTTTTGCCTCGAAGCTGGCCCAGTTTGGATGCTCAGAGGTGGCGTAGGGTTGGTATTGATGGTGTTGTCGAACTTCAGTTGAGTACAAAGAATTGGTTGAGCAGACGTTTGAAGACATGCTCACATCAGAAGGGTTCATGCCATGATCATTTGTTGACAGAGATGAGTGTACATGCTGGGCATTTGGTTTGCACTGTGCTATCATCCCGTGATGATTTGGCTCCACCTGTCACAGCAGCGTCAAGCTCGATGTCTTCGACGTCGGCTGAAACACGAACGACAACATCCTCTACGACCAGGAGCTCATTGAAGCCAAAAGATGGACCAGCAACCCCACGTCCCAAATGCGGGAAAGTGGCGCAGAATGATCATCCGGCTCAGAGAAAGAGCCATATGGGCCGCAAAAGGGCTATGCCTTTGGCTCTTACAAAGGCCCTACTTGCGATTTCTGCCTTTGCCTTACCCTTCTACTCCCAGCATCGACAAGTGGAAGCACCAAGCCCGCGAGCAGGTGACGGCGGGAACTTTGCCTCGTCGCTACCTCGACTTCGCCAATCGGAACGGGCGCTTCACGATGCAGAACGTGGGAGAATGCATTCACCTTCGAAGCCGCCTTGGGCTGATGACGGCATTCTGCGAAGATCCTCATCTTCAAGGTATGGTGGCAGCTCTCCCTGTCAAGGGGCTGGCATCCAAGATCCAAAAACAAGTCAAGGAGGAGGCCATGGCGTCTGCCAGCAGAGCAGAAGCAGAGGGCAGCCGCGAAGCAGAAGCCAGATCGATGATCGGTCCAAAAGGAGGACTTCCATCTCTCCGTGGCGACTTGGTGCGTCTTGCAGCACTTCTACATGTGCCATTGGAGGACAAGGACACCATTGCACAGATCAAAGAAAAGGTCAAACCAATGGTCGCAGTGCTGAAAGAAAAGCCAGTGGTGCCTGTCGCCAAGAGCAAGGTGAGGGGAGCGCGTCCGAAGTCAAGCCCAAGCAAGGCCGCATCGTCCAATCCGCCTCTGACCATGCAGAATTTGGCCGACCAACGGTTGAGGATGGGCACGGTTTTGGAAACCATGTCCAAAGAGCTCACCACCCTGAGACAACAGACCGACCGTCGAGCCGCTCTTCACGGCCAACAGATGGAGGTGGACGACAAGGCATCAGAGGGGACGTACACCAGCGAGGAGCTGAGGGCGGCGGCAGAGAGCATGGAGGACGTGTATGCCGAGCAGTTAGCCGCAGTGTATGGGGAGGAGGAAGTGGAGTTCCTGACCAACGAGCAGGTGGCGATTGTTTTGGATCCGTGAATGAGGTCTACAACCCCTACAAGTTAGAGCAAGACATCAAGAAAGGCCAAGCCCAACTCATTTCTCAAGCTTGGTCAAAACATGTTGCAGACCGAGTGCGCGTTTCTCAAAGCGCCAAGGAAGTCAGAGAAGTACTTGAAGCTGACTTCTACAAGGAAATGACGGGCTATGTCAATGACGAGACCTTTTTCCAATCCATTGACTTGTCCCATGTTTCCTCTGTGACAGACTCCTCGGAAGTCAATGCGGCGGAAAGCAGTGCATTACATCGTCTTTTGGTGTCAGAGATTTACACCACTGCTCAGAATGTGATGAAAGAGGCCAAACGGAGGGGGCATTCAGTTGGAACACCCATGTCTCTGGAAAATGGATGGAATTTCTTGAGAGAAGATCATCGAGAAAAAGCTTTGCAAATTGTTCGAGAAGAGAAACCATTTTGTCTTGTCCTTGCTTTTCCCTGCGGTCCATTTAGCCCACTGCAGCGGTTGAACTCCAAGGGTCAGGAGACTTTGGATGCCCGACAAGCAGATGGATTGGTTTTGATGCGTTTTGCAATACAGCTTGCTCAAGAGCAGATCAATAATGGTCGACATTGCATTCTGGAGAATCCTCGGCCGAGCCAAGCATGGCACATGGTTGAGATGAGGCGTTTCCTTGAAGAGAATGACATCAACACAGCAGTTTTTGATCAGTGTCGTTTTGGCCTGAAGAGCCTGTCTGGTGGGTTGCATAAGAAGCCGACAATGGTGGCAAGTTCTTCTTCTGAAGTTGTTTCTCAGCTGGATGGAGTGCGGTGCATGCGCGATCACACTCATGTCCCGGTTTTGGGAGGCTCCAAAATCACCGCCCATGCGGGCATTTACCCTCATCAACTAGCAAGAGCGCTGGTTGTGGGTATCGAGAAGCAATTTGAGAAGGATTACAGCTCTCATGAGGTTTTGGCGGCTCAAGCAGATGAGGATGATTTGGGTTTTGAGGGCGTTGAACCTCAGCACCCTCCTGGTGAAGTGGAAACAGATGATGAAGTTGAAGATGAACTTGACCAGAAGAAGATCAACATACCTGCTAGTGTGCGTCAGGCGATCAAGCGCCTCCATGAAAACACGGGGCATAGAAGCACCCGACGTTTGGCGAGGGCTCTCGCCATAGCAGGAGCTCCAGAAGAAGCAATCGTCGCGGCAAAGCAACATCGCTGCGAGGTTTGCCAAGAACGCGCTCCTCCCAAGTCAAGGGGACCAGCAAGCCTGCCTGTTCCCAAAGATTTCGGCGACCAAGTGCACATTGATGTGATTGAAGTTTATGATGCAAAGGACCGACGTTTCTTTGTGATTCATGCCACAGACTATGCCACAAGGTATCAGCTTGCGGAACTCATGTCGGATAAGTCCTCTAAGTCGGTTATACGTTTTATGGCTTTGAAATGGGTTGCAACGTTTGGTGCTCCCAGAGTTCTTGTCTGTGATCAAGGTCGCGAATTTATCAGCTGGGAATTTGAAGAATGGGCAAGTTCAGTTTCCACAATGCTCCACCATATTGCAGTGCAGGCGCCTTGGCAAAATGGTATAGCCGAGCGCACTGGGGGCGTTCTCAAAACGCTCCTTTCTGCAATCATTGCCTCTCAGTCGGTGTTGGGCAGAGAGGAAATGGAGCTGGCTTTGGCGGAGGCAACTGCAGCGTACAATGGCGACATCAATGAGTCTGGAGCGTCGCCATATCAGGCCGCCATCGGCAGACAGCCGAGAATGGTTGGCGACGTGCTTGGTGGCATTGGCTCACGCCTGGCAGAACACGGGCTGATAGACTCAAAGCCATCCTTTGCTCGTCAGATTGCTATGAGGGAAGTTGCAAAGATTGCCATGACTCGGCTTCATTTCAGCCGAGGACTCAGAAAAGCAGAATTAGCCAGGTCGAGAAGTTCAACAATAGAACAAGCTCCAGAACCTGGCACCATTTGCTATTTCTATCGGCCGTTGAAGTACAACAGCAAGAATTCTGGAAACCGACGAAAGCTCACCTTGAAGCGGTGGCACGGTCCTGCCTTGCTGGCGGCAACAGAGGGCACTTCCTCGGCTTACCTTTCTCACAAGGGGCAGCTCACGAAGTGTGCTTTGGAGCATGTACGAGTGGCTTCCACGTTGGAGCAGATTGCTTCCGACACTTGGAGGGATGCAATTGAAGAAGCTGTTCAACAAGCAATGCATGACCTTGCCTTGCGTCCTGCAGCCCCAGTTGAAGCTCCAGAAGATCCCCAAGTTCCGCAATCAGCCCCTGGAACGCCTGGCTTTCTGCCTTCTAGGGGAGCCGTAGAGGCTGCAGATCTCGCTGGTCTAGATCTACCACCTGTGGAACCAGTCGAAATTGTTGGTGCCCTTGGATCAGCACCGGTTTTGCCTTCCTTGGTGGGTTCAAGTGTGCCTTCGCGGAGGGTCAGTGATGTGACTGGTGCTCAGGCTTCTAATGCAGCCCCTGCCTCAATGTCTTCCTCGTCTCAAAGACCGCCTTTGCTGCAGAATCAAATTGAGAAAGCGCGAGAGATGGACGAAAGCAGTGGAGCAAAGAGACCTGCGGAAGTAGATGCTGAACAACTCAGGGAAGATGATAGGGCCGCTGCTGCTTTTGGAGGCCATCAGACTATGGTGGTGGAAGGGTCGACCGAACAAAAGGTTCCTTTGTTTGCAGACCAAGTGTATGACGTCCTTGTGATGTCGCGAGCTGAAGTTGAAGAAGCAATGACAGACCCTCAGAGACATCCGCTTCTCCAGATTCGAGATCAGGCCTGTTTGGACCGCCTTGATCCCTTATAGAAGCTCAACCACAAGACCATGGCACTTGGGATGGTAGGTGGGGACTCCCATCACGCACTGAGTGGCAGACCAGAACCAAGCTTGGACTTTCTTGGCCTACTGGACTGCGCCCTCATGAAGTGCTGACCAATCAAGCTGCGAGAAAGGAATTCCACTGGAAGACCATGAGTGACCATGAGAAGGAAGAGTTTGCAAAAGCCTCAGATGATGCCTGGAAAGTTTGGGTGGAAAACGCTGCAGTTGAACCCTTGGACTCCATTGAATCAGAGAAGGTTAGAAAACGTTTGGCCGCAAATCGTGAAACTAGCAAAATCTTGACACCTCGCTATGTTTGGACAGACAAGAACGAACCGTTGAGGACGCCATCGCATCCTCTACCTCTTCGTGCAAGAGCTCGAATAGTGGTTCCAGGGTATCAAGATGTTTTCTCCTTTTCACTGCGGAAAGATGCGCCCACTGCATCGCGAACCTCTCAACATCTCTTGCTCATCATGACAGCATGCCACTTCCTTGGTCCTGATGCTTCCTTGAGGTGGCGTTTGATGTCTGCAGATGTGAAAAGTGCTTTCCTCAAGGGAGACCCATACATGTCTGAGGCCAGAGAGCTTTACATGGAAAACATGCGTGTGAAGTCAGAGGATGAACCGAAGCTTCCTTTAGAACCTGGCTGCCTGGTGAAGATTCGCAAAGGAGTGTTTGGTCTTAGTGACGCGCCCCGGGAGTGGTATTTGCGTCTCAACAGATCACTGCTGGCTGCCGGGTGGGAAAGATCTCCAATGGACTTTGCGTGTTGGCTGCTTTGGTCAGAAGATCATACAGAACTTCATGGCATATTGATTTCCCACGTGGATGATTTGCTGCTGGGAGGAAACCTCCGGGCACAGGAAAAGCTGAAGGCCTTGGGAGAGGAACTTGGATTTGGAAGCGTTGAGTACGATGATTTTTCATACTGTGGAAAACGCATCCGGCAGAAGCCTGATGGATCCATTTCGATCTCCATGATCGAGTATCATCAGAACCTCAAGCCTGTTTCAATTCCAGTTCATCGCAGATCCACGCCTCAGGCTGAGTTGACAGCCCCAGAGCGTAAGCAGCTTCGAGCAGTGCTTGGGTCTTTGCAATGGTTAGTTGCCCAACTTCGTTTTGACATGGGCTACCACCTGTCTGTCCTTCAAGGTGAAAGGCCAACAATCCTGACTCTGATGAAGGCAAATCAACTTTTGAAGGAGTAAACGAAATTCCCAGTTTGAGCTCACGTTCAACCTTATGGACTTCAAGAATGCAGGCATAATGGTGATCATGGATGCTTCATTGGGTAACGTAACCAAAGCTGGGGGGGCAAATGGCGAGGTCACCGAGAAGGTCTATTCTCAGAGTGCTTACTTCGTTTTGGTGGCAGACCAAGATCTTCTTTCAGGAAAGGAAGGTAAGTTTGCAGTGCTGGACGCGCGATCGCATCGGATCCCGCGAGTGTGCCGATCCACCTTTGGCGCAGAGTTGTTGAGCACTGAGGAAGCCTTCGATGTCGGCGTTTACTGCTGAGGACTGCTTGCAATCATGAAAGGGTATCCAATGTCCGGCCGCCATACGGAAGCCATGATGGACGCGATTCCTTTGATTGGCATCACGGACTGCAAGGATGTGTATGACAAGAACACGTCTGATACCCCATCCTATGGTTCGCAGAAGAGTTTGTCCTTTACCATTGCATGGCTGCGAGCTACGCTTGGTCGTCCCAACACGGCATTGCGTTGGACGGCGACGGAGAACATGTGGGTAGATGCAGGAACAAAGGATATGAATCTGGATCACATGCATCGCATATTGGCTTCAGGCAAATGGAGCTACGTGTTCAACCAAGAGTTTGTCAAGCAGACCATCAAGAAGAAGAAGCCTGCTACTACGAGTGAGAGTGGCCCAATCTTGATAGGTGAATTGCTGACGGAATCGTCCCTGGTGTATCCTCATTTGCACCAACTTAGCTGTAGTCCTGGTTGGCATTGTAGAGATGGCATAGTTTTGCATGTGGCCCAGAACGCCAAGTCTTTTAGGACACCCACTGGGAGGTTTAAGGTTGACGATTTCCCCATCAGAAGCACATATGCTCGTTTTGATGACCCCACGGGAACCTCACAGTGGCGCATGCTTGAAACCGGAGTCGATTTGAAAACTCTGAAGAATTCTCAGGCCCTGATTGGACACGATGCTGGAGTGCTCATTTCTGTTTTTCGGTCCTGATCTCTTGCAAAAGAAGAAGATAGTCAGCTGAGAAATGCAGCTGTTGTCAAGGATCTGACCTGCAGGTGAGCTGTGCATCTCCATCGCATTTTGGTTCAAAGGCCTAACGCCAGTTGTGCTACACAATCAGCTCATGGAAAAGGCTGCCAGTCGCTGCTTTGCACTTTGAGCGACTTCATACATATACATACATACACATACATACACATACATACACATACATACACATACATACACATACATACACATACATACACATACATGCACATACATACACATACATACACATACAGACACATACAGACACATACATATACATACATATACATACACATACATTACATACATTACATACATAGAGATACATAGAGACACATAGAGATACATAGAGATACATAGAGATACATAGAGATACATAGAGATACATAGAGATACATAGAGATACATAGAGATACATAGAGATGCATAGATGCATAGTGCAACATTCCACGCCTGCCACGCAAAGTGACGGTCGATGTCGCAAAGTGCCATGCCCCACGCAGAGTGAAGGTCGATGTCGCCAAGTGCCACGCCTGCCACGCAGAGTTAAGGTTGATGTCGCCAAGTACCACGCTTGCCACGCAAACGGCCAAACGGGAACCAAGCGCGCCACCAGAGCCAGCCCAGTGCCAAAGTGGCACGCCTGCCACGCAGAATGCGCGTCGATGCCAAGTGCCACGCCTGCCATGCAAAGTGACGGCCCATGCCGCCAAGTGCCACGCCTGCCAAGTGCCTCGCCTGCCACGCAAACAGCCGCGGCGACCACGGCGCCAAACGGGAACCAAGCGCGCCACCAGAGCCAGCCCAGTGCCATAAGTGGCACGCCTGCCACGCAGAATGCACGTCGATGTCGCCATGGGCCACGCCTGCCACGCAAAGTGACGGTCCATGTCGCCAAGTGCCACGCCTGCAACGCAGAGTGAAGGTCGACGCCGCCAAGTGCCACGCCTGCCACCCAGCCGCGGCGACCACGGCGCCAAACGGGAACCAAGCGCGCCACCAGAGCCAGCGCAGTGCCATAAGTGGCACGCCTGCCATACGAACATCACTCAATGAGGAAATGCCCCTATAGTTTGCCAACTTACTCACGGCGTGGCAGGCGTGGCACTTGGCGACATTGACGTGCATTCTGCGCATGCGGACGCCCGACGTGGAGGAAAAATTCAGCAACCCAATAATGTGCTAGACTCGACCAAAGCAAAAAATCACAAAGAAAACGCAGCCAATGTCTGCCAGCATTTGGGGATCCCAAGGTTTCTGATGAATCATGGCCAGCACCGGGTTCAATTTTGTCTTATCTTACAGTGCTGTTGAACACCAGTCCCAGAAGGAAGATTTTCTGCTCTTTGATTGTGCCCAAAATATTGCAAGTGGAATTGCTCTAGTGTGAGATTGTGACTTTGCATGAACCTAAACTGAATGCAATTGAATGCACCATGATTCTGGGGCGGCCTCTTTCTTGTCCTGATCTACGTGCAGGAGCTGACGTGTCAGCATTTTGTACACCCTGAGCATCACGTGTGAAAGCTCACATGCCCCAGATTATGTATCAGTGCAACCGTTGCAACCATGTCATGAGCTGCGAGGCTTGACGTGGCGACGGATTCGCAACACCAAGTCGAGGCACGTGCAGGTTTCGGGAAGGAAACTGATTCCATGGAAAGGAAACTCAAAATCAGCAAGGCATTATGTTTTACACATTAAAAATGCACTTTTCCTTTAATTCATCTTGATGACACAGTTACCTTGGCAGGGCCACGGAAGGAGGTTTTTTGAGCGGGTAAACACCGCTGATGGATCCTGTTAGTTTTTGACTGCGATTTTCATATGATGTGACTGGTTCACACAAACACAACAACATTTTCCATTTTTTTCCGGTGCCATGTGGAGAACAACTACAAGCCGATCATCACGGCAAAAAAAAAACGCCCATAACTCAGGACGTTGGGTGCACGTTGGGTGCACTATGACCTATTGATGGCTTACAACTGCCCCCATCACTGACAGGGAAATGAAACGAATTGAAATCATCCATTTTGTTTTAACCCGTTGACATGTGGGCAACCCCACTTAGGGGACTTACGAACCAGGGTTTTTCAGCAGTTCTGCTTGGTGGGATGATCCTTGAAGAGCAACTCGCTGGCTTGACTGTAAGACACACCCTTTGGACCGTGGGTGCCCAAAAGACACCAGCTTGTTTTGATATTGGGGAGGTTCCGGTGATGGAAAAGATGCAGGATCCAAAGATGTGCTGGGTGTTTCCTCTAAAAGGATGTGGTGTAGTGGTTGCAGTGTATCCCTCTCACGCCTTGATCAGCCTTCAATGATATGGTTCCTATCCCGGTTTCAAACGTGTGATCTTGCTCCATCGTTCCATCATTTTTCCAGGTAGCTGCAAGGCAAAGGGCTTCTGATTCGTCATTCATATGCCCTTGTCGGTCCAAGTCCTCGCTAAGCTCTAAAGGCCTGGTTAAACTAGGTCTTTAGAACTGAGGTTTTCTCTATGTGATTATTTTTGAAATCATATTTTTGTGAGACTATGCCGAGGAAGGTCCCACCCCCACAGATATCCCATGCTTGAAAAATTGAAGGCGCACCTTTGAGATTTGCGAAAATAGTGACACCGTGAAAAACTTTGAAAAGGCAATGAAAAAACCGTGAAAACCCGGTGAAAAGACACTGAAAACCCGCAAAATCAGGTTTGCGCAAAAAGGATGGTTTTG